AATGTAGTAGAGAAACAAACTCCAGTTCTACCTTTTTACTGCACCATTGTAGGTGTCAAGGTCAGTCAGGAAAATACACACTAAACTATTAACAGCATATGGTGTTTCCTATACAAATTAGGCCTTATCAGGGATATAATCTAGAGGAGGTAGTCAGAGAACACTCCCAAGCATGAAAGTCTGAATTCATATCATGGCAGACACAAGAAGCCTTATAAAAAAACAACAACAACAACAACAACATCAACAAAAACTCTGATGGATCTTCGAAGTTGACCTTGTGAAGACATCAGTGGAAATCTCCACCTCTAGGAAAACAGAAACCAAAGAGTTGATGGTGGTTTTTGAGGGTACTTTTTGAACGTAAGGGCAAAGAATCCAGAATATGGGCTTGGTGATGATGGCCTTTAAGTTCCTATGTATCTGTCCTTTTCCAGTAAGATAGTTCAAAAATCTAGTATCTTTCTGGCTTCTGCCTTTGAAATCTCATGCAAGTGAGGCTATTGGTGAATTCTAACATGGAACCATAAAAGGGATGACTATGGAAAATCTAGTCCCTCACTTTACCCATAGGGGGATATCTCTGACTTTTCTCCCATTACAGGTCTCTCTTCCCAATTCAGGGTATTCACCAAATAACCATCACAAGGAAGGATAAGCAAAGGCCCAAATATGAAAATACTAATTCACATGAAAATATATTTTCATATGCTTAAATACATAAAAATTATTATTATAACTTTGTAGTAGTATGTTAAAGGAAGAAGACTCATACCCATCACCCCCCCAAAACTTTGTCATTAAGAAAGGTAGAATATATAATGGACTAAAGATATCCAGGACCTGTCACAAGGCCAGTTGGAAAATCCCAACAAAGAACAAACTGTCATTTTTCAAAGGCCCCTTAACACAAAACAAATAAAACATTATATAAAAAAGTTTAACCTAATTGCATATTAGGAATACATCCAACTCACCCATGGATCCAACAGGCTTCAAAATTGAAAGAGAAAATATTATATTAACTGATAGAAGGAAGAAGCACTATTAATCTAGGGTACTATTGTTGAAAGACAACTCAGAATTCTTTCACCTTAATATTCATTTGAGAGTAATTAGTAGAAATTCACATTGCAACAATGTGCTTTGAGAAAGAGGCCCAGTAAACACAATATACATACAACCTTAATAACTCTTCTGCATTGAAAGTTTTCTGGAACACTTTACATGGATTAATTCCAATCAAGCTTTCTCATGTTACTTACATTTATTTTTCTTTTCAGTAAGAGTTTTCACATTTAAGGATGTGGGCAAACTAAAATATTTCCTACACGGTTTACATTAGAGCTTTTTATCCAATGAGTCCTTTCATGTCTTCAGTAGGACCAGGAATGACAAAAGTCTCCTCCACATTCTGCACATTTACATAGTATCTCTCCAGTGTGCATTCTCACAAGTCCTTTAAAGTTTGCATGAGAAAAAAAAAATAAAAAAAAATAAAGTTTGCATGAGAAAGTGAAGGCTTTTCCACATTCCTCGCATTCATAGGGTTTCTCTCCAGTGAATTCTTTTGTTTTCAAAGAGAACTGAAAGAACTGAAAGATTTACTACATTTTTAACATTCATAGGGTTTCTCTCCTGAGTCTTTTGGTATACTTGCAAGGAACTGTAATATTGAAGGCTTTACCACATTTTTCACATTCATAGTTTCTCTTCAGTATGATTTTTTTCATGTCTTCTACAACTTTTTTTCTGAGATGAATGTGTATGCACAAGCGGGGGGAAGGGCAGAGGCAAGAGGATCCCAAGCAGACTGTGCAGAGTCCAACATGGGGCTTGGTCTGACGACACTGAGATCATGACCTAAGCCAAAATCAAGCATCAGATGCCCAACCAACTGAGCCATCCAGGAGCCCCAATATCTTCTAGAATTTAGGTAACATCTGAAGGCTTTTCCATATTCCTTATACTCCTAGGGCTTCTCTCCAGTGAATCCTTTCATATCCCTACAAACTTTGATAATATCTGAGGTTGCAATCAAGAACATTTCCATAGTAGTATAGGTGTTGCATCAAACTAAACTTGGGGGCACCTGGGTGGTTCAATCAGTTAAACATCCAACTCTTGATTTTGGCTCAGGTCATGATCTCAGGATTGTGAGATCAAGCTCCAGGTGGTGCTCTGTACTGGACAGGGAGCCTACTTAAGAGTCTCTCCTTTTGCCCCTCTCCCCATATACATATAATCTCAGCAAGCTGGCACAGAGAGGTCAAGAAGGCAGGAGATGGGAAACTTAACATAGGGAAGTGGCCTCAAGACCTGCTCTCAGAAGACATGATGCTGCTAACCAAAGATTAGATTAGGATAAACCCAGAGAGCTCCCACCAGGATCTTTTGATGCACCTTTGTTTCAGACAACAGCATTCTCAAGATATGATCTGAGAATCTATTAAAGGTGGCACCAGGAGACTTATCACTTTCTCACCAGTTTCGTGAATGACACAAGTGTAAGTGTACCCCGAAGGGTGTTCTCTAACTTAGGCTGGCTTCCAAAACAGGTCTATAGTGGCCTATGCCCTTCTTCCTCACTTAGACTTATTCCTAAGAAGGACCCATGTTAGAGGACATATTGTACACACAGAGTTCAAAGTTAGGGTTTTAACATTTTCCTAGCATGTGAAAACGTTTTTACTATTTTCTATTAAAGAGTAGTTGTGTATTTTCACAAATGTATAAATAACACTCTGAAGATAGAGAACACTCCATCATCCCCAAAGGACATACTCAATAGTAGTATTAACAGAAAATTATGTTTACTATATAAATTAGACCTTATATGAATAAAATCTAGAAAAGAGTGGAATAGAACTTCAGAGAATATTCTCAACCATAACAATCTCAATTTGTGGACACTTGAGAACTTGCAAAAAATTTAACCCATGCTGGATCTTTGATGTAGAACTATGAAGACAAGTATAGAAGCCTACTGTTCAGATCAAAGGGAAGTCAAGCAGTTGGTGGGTTTGAGATTATTCTTCATTGCCAGAAAAAACAAAAACAAAACAAAAAAATCCAAGGAAAACAGGCTGAAAGCATGTGTCTGTGAAGCATATGCTTCTACCTAACTCTATACAGATGGCTGAAAAATGTGTTTAATCCTATTTCACTTATGTATTCCAAGTTCCATGTAAGTTAGGCTTTGGTGAATTCTGATATGAAAGGATAAATACAAGAGATTCTAGGAAAAATAGTTCACATTACTGACTTTGACATTAACAGCATCAAGGAAGGTCATCTTCAACTCTAGATTTATTGTTCTATATCACTCAGGCCTTTATTTAAAAAAATTTTTTTTTTAAGGCTATTTGTTTGAGAGAGTGAGTGAGGGCACAATCAGGGGAGAATGGGGGAGAGGGAGAAGCAGACCCCCTGCTGAGCAGGGAGTCCATCACGGTGCTTGATCCTAGGATTGATTATGAACTGTGCCCAAGGCAGCCACTTAACCAACTGAGCCACCCAAACACCCATCAGAGTCCTCTATTTTTTTAAGATTTTATTTATTTATTTATTTATTTATTTATTTATTTATTTATTTGTTTGTTTGTTTGAGACATAGAGAGGCAGAGACACAGGCAGAGGAAGAAGCAGGCTCCATGCAGGGAGCCCGATGTAGGACTCAATCCCAGGACTCCAGGATCACGCCCTGAGCCAATGTCAGGTGCTAAAGTGCTGAGCGACCCAGGGATCCCCAAGAGTCCTCTATTCTTTTTTTGTTTTGTTTTGTTTAAGATTTTATTTATTTATTCATAAGAGACAGAGAGAGAGGCAGAGGGAGAAGCAGGCCCAAGGCAGGGAGCCTGATGCGGGACTCAATCCCGGGACTCCAGGACCACGTCCTGGGCCAAAGGCAGGCACTAAACCGCCGAGCCACCCAGGGATCCCCTGAGTCCGCTATTCTTTTTTCTTTTCTTAAATAAGGATTTATTTTTATTTTTATTTATTTATTCAGAGAGAGAGAGAGAGAGGCAGGACGTGGGACTCGATCCCGGGTTTCCAGGATCACAGCCCGGGCTGCACCCGGCGCTAAACCGCTGCGCCACAGGGGCTGCCCTGAGTCCTCTATTCTTTTTTTTTTTTTTTTAAGATTTATTTAAGAGAGAGAGAGAGGCAGAGACAGGAGGAGGGAGAAGCAGGCTCCATGACGGGAACCTGACGCGGGACTCGATCCCGGGACTCCAGGATCGCGCCCTGGGCCAAAGGCAGGCCCCAAACCGCTGAGCCACCCAGGGATTCCCCCTCTTTTTTTTTTTTTTTTAAGATTTATTTATTTATTCATTCAGAGAGCGAGAGAGAGGCAGAGACACAGGCAGAGGGAGAAGCAGGCTCCATGCAGGAAGCTCAATGTGGGACTCGATGCCGGGTCTCCAGGATCAGACCCCGGGCTGCAGGTGGCGCTAAACCGCTGCACCACCGGGGCTGCCCTGAGTCCTCTATTCTTAAAGTAACTCTATATTCCAAGTGCTAGCCATAAGCAATGGCAAAGATCAAAGAACAAAAGATGAAAATAATAATTCACATGAGAACATACTGTATGATGATCTTTGCATCCTCACAACTACGGCAACTACTTATTGGCAAGGAAAACAGAATAAGGCTCTTTGGGCTAATGAGAAGGGAACTTTCTGTAATTAAAGAAAAGTAGAGGGACACCTGGGTGGCTCATTGGTTGGGTGTGATCCTGGGATCAAGTCCTGCATTGGGCTCCCTGAGAGGAGACTGCTTTTCCCTCTGTGTTGTGCCTCTCTCTGTGTCTCTCTCATGAATAAATAAATAAATCTTTTCTTAAAAATGTAGAATATAGGGCAGCCCCGGTGGGCAGCAGTTTAGCGCCACCTGCAGCCCAGGGCATGATCCTGGAGACCCTGGATCAAGTCCCATGTCAGGCTCCCTGCATGGAGCCTGCTTCTCCCTCTGCCTGTGTCTCTGCCTCTCTCTCTGTGTGTGTCTCTATGAATAAATAAAATCTTTAAAAAAATGTAGAATATAAAAATAATGGCTAAATCATACTGAATACTTGCCCCACAGGACACTAGGAAAGGAAAATATGAAAAGTGTTATTTTTCAACATTCCTTTCTTTACGGAATTTTTTAAATATATAAAAATTAAACCTACTTGCACATTAGAAATACATTTCAATCACCCACAGATCCAAGAGACTTCAAAACAAGAACACAAAAATATTACTAAGGAAAAATTTACTTATTAAACTTAGGAACTCTTGTTTTTTTTTTTTTTAATTTTTTTAAATTTTTATTTATTTATGATAGAGAGAGACAGAGAGAGGCAGAGACATAGGCAGAGGGAGAAGCAGGCTCCATGCACCAGGAGCCCGACGTGGGACTCGATCCCGGGTCTCCAGGATCGCGCCCTGGGCCAAAGGCAGGCGCCAAACCACTGCGCCACCCAGGGATCCCAGGAACTCTTGTTTTAAGAGTACCTACATAATTATCTCACTTCAGTATCTGTTTGCAAAAGTGGAAGTCTATAGCAAAGAGAATCACTTTAAGGATGAATACCTGATAAACACCATGTATGAATAACATTTATAACATTTCTTTAATGTTGTGAATTTTAAGAACTATATGAATTCATGTCCACAAAGCTTATCCATATTGAGTATGATTTCTTTCTCATTTAATTTTCACACTACCTTGAAAATATCTGTAAAAACTATAAAGTTTTTATTTTTTAGTTATAGAATACTAATCCAGTGAATAATCTAATCCAGTGAATAATCTGACACGTTTTTTTTAGTGATGTGGGGCAAGTGAAGGTTTCCTACATTGTTTACTACCAATTGAATTCTCTCCACTGAGTTTTTGGTAAGTCCCAAAGGAAACAGAACTGAAGTCTTTCCTACATTCTTTATATTTCTATAATTTATCTCTGGTGTGCATTCTTACATGCCCATGAAAGACTATGCAACAAACGAAGGCTTTCTTACATTCCTTATTTTCACAGACTTTCTCTCACATGAGTTCTTTCGTGATTTCGTAAAGAATTAATAATACTGAAAGCTTTACTACAAGCTTTACATTGATAAGGTTTCTCTCCAGTGTGAGTTCTTTCATGTGTTCGTAATGAACTGGGAGAAATAAATGCTTTCTTACATTTCTTACATTTATAAGGTCCATCTCCAGTGTGGATTACCATGTGTGACTGAACACCTGAGCGGAAAATGAAGCCTTTCCCACATTCCTTACATTCATAAGGTTTTTCTCCAGTGTGAGTTCTTTCATGTTTTTGAACATAATAGTGACTGCTGAAGGCTTTACCACATAGTTTACATTCATAGCGTTTATCATCAGTATGAGATCTCTCATGTTTGCGTAAGTTACTAGAATATCTGAAGACTTTACCACATTTTATACATTCATAGGGTTTTTCTGCACTATGTGTCTTTTCATGTATTCGAAAAGACTGGGGACAACTGAAAGCTTTTCCACATTGCTTACATTCATATGGTTTTACTCCTGTGTGAGTTCTTTCGTGAATTCGAAAGTAATTGGGACAACTGAAAGCTTTCCCACATTCCTTACACTTATAAGGCTTCTCCCCAGTATGGGTTCTTTCATGATTTCGAAGGGAACTGGGATAACGGAAAGCTTTACCACATTCCTTACATTCATGAGGCTTCCTTGCAGTATGAATTCTTCTATGTTTCCCAAGGGACCTGGGAGAACTGAAAGCTTTCCCACATTCCTTGCATTCATAGGGCTTTACTCCACTATGTGTCATTTCATGACTACGACAGTTTTTGGGACACCTGAAGGCTTTCCCACACTCCTTACATTCATAAAGTCCATCTCCATTTTGCTTGATCATGTATCTTCGAAATTTGGTAACAGAACGCAAGGCTTTTCCACCTTCCTTACATTCACAGCGTTTCTCCCCATTATGACTTCTTTCATGTTTATGTAAATTACTTGAGTAACTGAAGGTTTTACCACATTTTGTACATTCCTTAGGCTTTTTTGCACTGTGTATCCTTTCATGTATTCGAAAGGACCTGAGACCACTGAAAGCTTTACCACATTGCTTACATTCACTAGGTTTCTCTCCAATATGAGTCCTTTCATGTTTACGTAAGTTACTTGAATAACTAAAAGTTTTATCACATTTTATACATTTGTAGGGCTTTTCCCCGCTGTGTGCCCTTTCATGAATTTGAAAGTAATTGCGACAAATGAAAGCTTTTCCACAGTGTCTACATTCATAGGGCCTCTGTCCAGTGTGCGTCTTTTCATGCATTCGAATGGACTGGCGATGCTTGAAGGATTTTCCACATTCCTTACATTTATAAGGCTTCTCTTCACATTCCTGATATTCATATGGTTTGTGTCCAGTGTGAGATTTCATGTGCTTGTTAAAGGCTGAATGATACATGAACACTTGTTCACATAAGGTGCATTTATGTAGTTTTATTCCAGTAAAAGTTTTCTTCTTCTGATTATGATATGGGATCTGGCTGAAGATTTCTTCATACTGATTACATTCTTTACTTTTACAGAGTCTTTCTACCATTTGACTGCTGTAAAAAAATGAGAAGCATATTATTAATAGCTTTGTTATTAATCCTCTTACATTTATTGATAACTATGATGGTAACTTTACTATTTTCAAGGAAAACGTAGGTTTTCTGCATATTTTCATTGTTTGAAAGTTAACACCCTGAGAGCTTCCAACAGGGCTCCATCTTAGCTATTATCAAAACAGCTGTTTCCAGGTGTACCATTTTTCAGAAACTGTACATCACAGTAAGAGGTGAGAAAAAACTTGATGAAAATATCGTAAGGATCAGTGAATTTATTTTAAGATTTTATTTATTTATTCATGAGACACACACAGAGAGAGGCAGAGACATTAGCAAAGGGAGAAGCAGGTTCCATGCAGGAAGCCCGATGTGGGACTCAATCTCAGGACTCCGGGATCACGCCCTGAGCCAAAGGCAGACACAACCATTGAGCCACCCAGGTGTCCCAGGATCAGTGAATTTAAAGCTGCACTAATTTACTTGCTTGTTTTTTAAATTTCATGACATCTTGGATTCTGTAATGAAACTTTATTTTCTCATGCAAATGCTACTCACCTTAGGTTTGTCTCATGATTTTCATCCTGATCTTCACTGTCATGGATTTTCCATTTTTCTTCTGACATACACACTAGGAAAAAAGCAGTATAAATTATAAAAATTTAGAGAAAATTTGTTAGATTCTAGGTCCATGATGAGTTGTTACCATGGCAGGTTTATTAATAAAAAATATTCCATCTTTTCCCTTGAAATGGCACTGATGAGCAAGTTACACTAAATCTCTAATTGATTTTGCAAGTAAGAATGTCCTCATTCTTACCTATTGAGGCCAGGTTCCTAAAGGTTTCCTGCATCACATCTCTGTAGAGTTTCTTCTGGGAGTGATCCAGGAGAGCCCACTCCTCCATGGTGAACTTCACAGTTACATCCTCAAAGGCCACTGTGTCCTAAATAATTCCATAAATGTATATAGGATGGGTGAGATGGACTACTGAAGACCTATACTCAATTTATAAGTAGTTCACATATGACTTCCAGAACATAAATGATGTGGGGGTACAAAGGTGTTTCTTTCTTTTCTGTTCCAAAGGTGGGGCATAGTGAGGATGACAGGGTTTTCTCACTCCTGTCACCAAATATGTTGTATTTGTTCCAAAGCCACTTCTCCAATTCTATGTCACCAAACAAGTGTCCAATAGTTCAGTTCTAACACAAACTACCCAGAGTTTAAGTCAGATTCATAGTATAAGAGGTCAGTCCCACACACTGCCCCTATTTGTGATACCAGCTACAAATGGGAAGGCAAGTTTATTATTTTCACAGCCAACTACAAGTTCACAGATTTCTTCCACACTGTCTCGTTTGGAAATTTACTGAAATGATTTTAAGAAACTTAGGAAAATGCTTTATTTACCATTACCAGTTTACTGTAAAGCATACAACTCAGGAACAAAGAAAAAGTGCAACACATAGGATAAGTTAAGGCGGTGGTATGGGTAAGGGGAATGGAGATGCAGGTGGGGTGCAGAGCTCCCATCTCCTTACAGACACACCAACCTCCCAGCAGCTGGTTGGATTCACCAATGCAGAAACTGTCAGAATTCTGTCTTTAAGAATTTTGATGGAGGTTTCAGTACATGGACACAATTTAGTAAATCATTGGCCATTGGTGATTAACTCTATCTCCAGCCCTTGTCCTATATTCATAAGTGGAGAGCTACAGCTCAATGTTCTAAACATTTCATCAAAGCTTGGTATTTCAGGTATCCAAAACCCCATCATAAAAGCTACCTAGTAAGTGGCTAAGAGTTGCCTCTTGGCAACACACTCTTTCACCATTAACACTGAAGTAATTTTTTTTTAATTTTTTAAAAAATTTATTCATTCATGATAGTCACACAGAGAGAGAGAGAGAGAGAGAGAGAGAGGCAGAGACACAGGCAGAGGGAGAAGCAGGCTCCATGCACCGGGAGCCCGATGTGGGATTTGATCCCGGGTCTCCAGGATCGCGCCCTGGGCCAAAGGCAGGCGCCAAACCGCTGCGCCACCCAGGGATCCCTCCTCCTGAGAATCTTAAATCAGGGCCATCAGGGTTAGGAGCCTTTCCCATGCTAACTGGTTGCTTTAACAGATTTAAGGACAAGATTTTTTATTTATTTATCTATTTTTTTTTTTAAGGACAAGATTAAGTCAGCTTTGAACTAATCCCTTTGCTGTGCCACAGAGTGCCACGGATGTGTTCCCAAAACTCCACAGTCTTCTGCCTACTTCTTGCAAAAGAGGCAGGGGCAGGAGCAACAGAGGTACTCAAAGATTCCATTCAACTATCTGGTGTTTGGAGTGTGGACACAGCCCACCACTTACTGGCTTTCACCCTTTCTCTCTTCTTTTTCTTTTTAAATGTCTGTTTTCCCAAGAGTAACCTTTGAATGAGGCCAGCTCTTTCCACAGGGCATAAGGGGCCAACCCAGCCTCTGTCACAGCTTCACAGAGACAAAAACCAACAAAGGAAGGAAGGAAGGAAGGAAGGAAGGAAGGAAGGAAGGAAGGAAGGAAGGAAGGAAGGAAGGAAGAAAAGGAGAGGAGAGGAGAGGAGAGGAGAGGAAAGGAAAGGAAAGGAAAGGAAAGGAAAGGAAAGGAAAGGAAAGGAAAGGAAAGGAAAGGAAAGGAAAGAAAGAAGGAAGGAAGGAAGGAAGGAAGGCCAACAAAGACATCAATGCAGGAACCACTTTTAAGGAGGCCGCGTTCCAACAGTTCTGTTCCCAAACCCTAGAAATTCTCACAACTGCCAACTTTGGTTGGTCCCATCTAAAACTGAGGCTTGCGGGGATCCCTGGGTAGCTCAGCGGTTTGGCGCCTGCCTTTGGCCCAGGGCGTGATCCTGGAGTCCCGGGATCAAGTCCCGCGTCGGGCTCCCGGCATGAAGCCTGCCTCTCCCTCCTCCTGTGTCTCTGCCTCTCTCTCTATGTCTATCATAAATAAATAAATCTTAAAAAAAATTTAAAAAAATAATAAAACTGAGGTTTGCTGGGTCACCAATGCAACAGAGGGCAGCACAGGGCACAGTATGAGCTCCCTAGCACCCAGCAGTACATGCCATCGTCAGTCAGAAAACCAGGTGAGCAACTTAAAGCAAGAGAGAACAGATCCATGGAATGGTGGCCACATGTGTACATGCTGCTCATGGTGTCAACTGTTATGGCCACCTGCTAAGAAGTGGTTCATAAGTTAAGTGGGATGGCTATGTAGCCTCCAACAACACCCAGACACCCAGACAGTAGGAAAAGGCTTAGGACTCATGTAACAGAGGTCTCAAGACAAGGGTGCCTCTCAGGCAGCTAAGAAATGGCTTCAAAAGAATGAAGAAGAGCCTGGCTGGGTAAGGAGTTCATTGGAGTTGGGGAGTAGGGCGGGGGCAAGAGTTCTGCACACAGACAGGAGCTTTCCTGGTTGGAATCTCCTGCCTGCTTTAGACCAGGCTTTCTCATGGGCATGTCCAGCTGGGAGCACAAGGGGTGGGGGGGCAGAGTGGGGAGGTGAGGCTTAAGCTGTCAGCACTCAAAACACCCTAAAACGCAAAATCTGACTGCTCATTACAAGGGCAAACATCAGTAAGAATAATATGCACTCGCAATTACTTGTTGGATACAGGAGGCTCAAGAAATGATGAAAATCATTTCATCATGTATTTGGGGGTGGCTGGGTTTAACAGTGCTGGAAGGAACTAGGATATATTTATGGTGATTTTCTTAAGTTATGCTCCCTATCTTACAAATTTACTTTATTTTATTTTATTTATTTATTCATGAGAAACACAGGCAGAAAGAGAGGCAGAGACACAGGCAGAGGGAGGAGAAGCAAGCTCCACGCAAGGAGCCGGATGTGGGACTCGATCCCAGATATCTGGGATCAGGCCCTGAGCCAAAGGCAGACCCTCAGCTGCTGAGCCACCCAGGCGTCCCACAAATTTACTTTAAAAACATATAAGGGATCCCTGGGTGGCGCAGCGGTTTGGCGCCTGCCTTTGGCCCAGGGCGCGATCCTGGAGACCCGGGATCGAGTCCCACATCGGGCTCCCGGTGCATGGAGCCTGCTTCTCCCAATGCCTGTGTCTCTGCCTCTCTCTCTCTCTGTGGGACTATCATAAATAAATAAAAAAAAAAATTTAAAAAAAAATAAAAATAAAAACATATAAATTTGGGGCCCTGGGTGGCTCAGTCAATAAAGCATCCAACTCTTGGTTTCAGCTCAGGTTATAGTCTCAGGGTCCTAGGATGGAGCTCCATGTTGGGCTCCATGCTCAGCGTGGAGTTTGCTTATCCCTCTCCCTCTGCTCCTTCTCTCTCTCCCTCTGGAATAAATAAATAACATCTTTAAAATATAGAAATTTACATATATTATACTATTTAACAGTCTTGATTTCATTTTAACTGTACACAGGAAACCATTTTAAGATATAATTCCTTTAAACACTAAAACTACAAAAGTGTAAAGCATTTGTATGGCTTATGAAAATTTTCACGGGCAGCCCGGATGGCTTAGCAGTTTAGTGCCACCTTCAGCCCAGGGTGTGATCTTGGAGACCCGGGATCAAGTGCCGCATCAGGCTTCCTGCATGGAGCCTGTTTCTCCCTCTGCCTGTGTCTCTGCCTCTCTCTCTCTGTGTCTCTCATGAATAAATAAAATCTTTAAAAAAGAAAAAAAGAAAAGAAAGAAAATTTTCAAATGTTCAACTAGCAGGACATGGGACATCAGTTTGTCCTTCTCCTGTATCACACACAGGATATTTTCCAGGAATAAGTAGCATATTACAATACAGTAGGGGTTTGAGTTTAGCTCCTTACATGCACTGGATTTTCAAATATTTATACAAGCTTTGGGCCGTTTTCCTCACATCAATTAAAATAGGGATTCAATTGCTTTAGCCTGTTGAATGTCAGTGTTCTCTAGGGTCATGCACATGCACTAACTGATCCAAAAATGAAAAGTGACCTGAAGAAAACTTAACTGAATGCCTCTCAGGTCTTGAACACAAATTCTACTTAGCTCCACAATTTTCTTGCTTTCCTCACACCATATCTTTCAATCAACTCACAATTTCAGAGCCCAAGTACTAAAAGAAACTAGAACCAAAGGATTCTAACTAGAGCTGCACTATTCTATCAGTAAAGGAACCCAAAGTTAAGAAATATTAGAATCAGCATGTATGGGCAACCTGCTTCACACAGGACAGAAGGAAAGCCACATTCAGAAAGTTCCACATTCTAGGGCAGCCTGGCTCAATGGGTAGAGCATGTGACTCCTGACCTCAGATGAGCTCAAGCCCCATCTTGGGGATAGAGCTTACTTTAAAAAAAAAAAAAAAAAAACAGGGGGCACCTAGGCGGCTCAGTCAGTTATGCATCTGCCTTTGGCTCAGATCATGATCCCAGAGTCCTGGATCGAGCCCCAATATGGGGCTCCTGACTCAGAGGGGAGTCTGCTTCTCCCTCTCCTCTGCCCTATCCCTTGCTTGTGTGCTCTCTGGCTGTCACTCTTTCAAGTAAATAAATAAAATCTTTAAAAAAAAAAAAAACAAGTTCTACATTCTCCTGGTGGAGACAGAAGCCCTGGAATGGGTCAGTACCTGAAAGAATGATACAGCCACCTGAGCAGCCACAGGAATGAAGTCTGGGAGCTCCACACCCTGGGATAGCAGGGGAGGCTATCCAGGAAGAAAAACTGAGCATTATGTACTCCTCTTTACAGGCTCATGGAGGCCAGAGCTTAGAGACCTCATCCCCAGGCCTCTGTCTGCCACTGACATTGCTTTGCACCAACAGTGATATTTTAAATGACATAAACCCAATGTCTGAACAATCCAGCAAATCACTCACATCCAGTGTTTATGTGGAAAGGAAGGGAAAAAATTGTTAAGGCACTTTACTGGCTCAACAAGAAAACTCACAAGTGGGGCTTCTGTGTGGCTCATTGGTTAAGCATCTGCCTTCAGCTTAAGTCATGATCCCAGGGTCCAGGGATCGAGCCCCATGTTGGGCTCCCTGCTCAGTGAAGAGCCTGCTTCTCTCTCTCCTGCTCTCCCTACTTGTGCTGTCAAATAAATAAATAAAATCTTAAAAAAAAAAAACTCACAAATATGGATTGTGTTCACAAAAATAAATAGGACATTAATTATTAACATGAGAACAAACTGTTTTATAAACTAGTAATCTGGGGATCCCTGGGTGGCGCAGCGGTTTGGCACCTGCCTTTGGCCGGGGGTGTGATCCTGCAGTCCTGGGATCGAGTCCCGCATCAGGCTCCCTACACTTCTCCCTATGCCTGTGTCTCTGCCTCTCTGTCTCTCATGAATAAATAAAATCTTTAAAAAAATAAATAAAATAAACTAGTAATCATAGCTGAACACTAGGAGTCTCCAAGTCTACGCCTTGGAAATCCATTTGAACTCATCCCAAATTAAAGAACAGACCTCATAAATAAATAAATAAATAAATAAATAAATAAATAAATCAGACCTCAGAATATTAGTAACACACATAAGGGGGGTAATAATAATAATACCAGCAGGGTAATGATAGAATTTTTTATTTTTTGAAATTCACTCCTTTCTTGACTCTTTGGAAATATTTTACACTGTCTTTCACGTTGTATGGATTTTTATTTTTTATTTTTTTGTATGGATTTTTAAAAGATTTTTATTTATCTATTCATGAGAGACACAGAGAGGGGCAGACGTAGGTAGAGGGAGAAACAGACTCCCTGTCCCAGGACTCGATCCCAGGACGCCAGTCACAGCCTGAGCCAAAGGCAGACGCTCAACCAGAGCCACCCAGGGGCCCCTCACGTTGTATGGATTAAATAAATTTTAGTCATTGAAAATTTTAAGACTAAAATTAATTGAATAACTCTTTTAAATGTGACAAACCAGAGGAGTGGTCGTGCTGACAGGGGAGATCACCCAGGAAAGTTTCAAAGAGGAATTTCCACCCAAAGGGCTTCCCTTAGGATGTCTGTGCCCAGGAAAAAATCCTGGGAGGAGGAGCACAAGGACTTCGTACAGCGTTGTTCCAGGGGATTATTCCCTAGTTTTCCCTTCCGTAAAATATCTAGGAATACAAACTAAACGCATTTAAAAGCGACATCCATTAAAACCGGGGGAAGGGGGGATGATAAATAACTGAAATACTGAAAAAAAATAACTGAAATTCTGCTTGAAATGCATCATGAAGGACGAACAGTTCATTGTGACGCTGTGAATTGGAGACGGGAAGTGGGCCAGGAGGGATATGGAAATTGCCTCAACGACTGCCAGTCCCAGGGAGAGCTGCGCGCGACAGGACAGTGGATTTCACCGTTTTCCACAATTCTGGAATACTCAGAAGAAAACGGTCCCCTCTGAAGAGAAAGGAAGGGACTGGAGACCTCACAGACCATGCACCTCCCGCGCACGAACTCCGGAGGGCCAGTCGCGATCGTCCCCTGTCACTTGGGGTCACCACTGCATAGCCTGGGGAGACACGGAGCTGCGGGCGCAGAGCTGTCCGTCCAGACTCGAGGGCCGAAGTTGCCGCGCGCAGGGACGCTACAGGACGCCGGAATGCCAGCTGCCCGCCCCGCCCCCGCGCCGCGCGCCGGCGGGGCCTGAGGTCCGAGCGGCGCCCCCGACGCACTGGAGTCCCAGACTTCAGAGTTGTCCGCGGGGAAGCGAGATCGCGCCACGGCCGCCTCCGGCCGGTTCCAAACAGCACTCCGCCCCCCTCTCTGGAAGCCCGGGCCTGCACACTCACCATTTCTAGCTTTCCTGGGCCTCCCAGCGTTCCACCTGCGATTTCTGGGGAAAGTACAGGTCTCAGTCAGGTAGAATCAGAGGAAGAGCGACGCGGAAGTTTGGAGCGCAGGTAACCCGCGATGCCAACAATGGCGGGAGCCAGAGGCCTCCTGCGGTGCGCCTGCGGAGCGTCGCCCCACCCACCTGCCCTGACGTCTCCTCTGATTGGGCAGCTTGCAAGGCCCACCCCCTCTCCCTGGGGAGTGACTGCAGGCCAGAGGTTTGGTGTCTGCGGAGCACCGGTGGGAACTCGTCGTCTCCAGGGACCTTTACGTTGGAGGGTAACGCTGAGGGGCCAACTCTGGAACTGGGACCCTTCTTTACAAATACACACCCTTGAGTCAACTGGCTCCATTTTGATCCCCATCCTTACTTATTTCAGAGTTTAAAAACCCTGTTGCCTTCCAAGCACTCAGCTGTGGTGGAAAGTTGGAACCCTAGTCCCAGCTGAGTAACGGACTCTTCCAAGACCGTAAGTTGTAGGGCGTTTAGTCACCTACACCTGAGTATTCTCAGGTATACGTTTTATGCTGAAAGGAACTTTATTTCAGATGATTGTTTGAATGTATCCTTAAAGAACTGTGCTATATAAAAGGCTATAATACCTGTAAGGTAATTTGATTACTGTTTGGGCTGATGTAACAAGAAACAAGAAAAGGTTACGTGAGTACAGGATGTTCTTGGAAAATGTACTTGGAAAGTATTAATATCCTTAAGAGATTGGTTTGCAAAACTCTTAATGTATTTATCCACTTATTTGAACAACTTTGGGGAAGCATTTTTTTAAAAATCATTTTATTTTTCATCATGATAAATGTACTCTTTTATCCCCATTCCCTACTTCCCCCATACCCCCACCTACTCCCCTCTGGTAACCATCAATTTGTTCTTAATCTTAAGAGTCTGGTTGGGCTCTTTTTTTTTTTTTTAAGATTTTATTTACATGAGAGACACAGACAGAGAGAGGCAGAGACATAGGCAGAGGGAGAAGCAGACTCGCTGCAGGGAGCCTGATGCAGGACTTGATCCTAGGACCCTGGAATCACAATCTGAGCCAAAGGCAGACTCTCATCTACTGAGCCACCCAGGTGCCCCAATAGTCTGTTTCTTGGTTTGTCTTTTTTTTCCTTTGGTTTTTTAAAAAAAAAAATTTATTAGATTTATTTATTTATTTATTTATTTATTTATTTATTTATTTATTTATGAGAGACATAGAGAGAGAGAGAGGCAGAGACACAGGCAGAGGGAGAAGCAGGCTCCATGCAGGGAGCCCCACGTGGGACTCGATCCTGGGTCTCCAGGATCACGCCCTGGGCCAAAGGTAGATGCTTAACCGCCGAGCCACCTGGGCTGCCCCTTTTGGTTGTTTTGTTTCTTAAATTCCATGTATGAATGAAATCATACCGTATTTGTCTTTTTATAATTTCGCTTAGCATTATACTCTCTTGCTCCATCTATGTTGTTGCAAATGGCAAGATTTCATTCTTTTTTATAGCTGAGTAATGTTCATATATATATACATATATATCACTTCTTATCAATTTGTCTAACTACAGACACTTGGACTGCTTCCATAGTTTCATTATTGTAGATAATGCTGCATAAACATAGAGGTGCATTACTCCTTTGAATTAGTGTTTTTGTATTTTGTGGGTAAATATCCAGTAGTGTGATTCCTGGATTGTAGGATAGTTCTCTTTTTAATTTTTGAGGGACCTCCATACTGTTTTCCAGAGTGGCTGCACCAGTTTGCATTCCCACCAACAGTGCAAGAGGATTTCTTTTTCTCCACATCCTCACCAATACCTGTTGTTTCTTGTGTTGTTGGTCTTAGTCATTCTGACAGGTGTGAGGTGATATCTCGTTGTAGTTTTGATTTGCATTTCCTTGATGATGAGTGATGTTGAGCATCTTTTCATGTGTCTGCTGGCCATCTGGATGTCTTCTTTGGAGAAATGTCTGTTTATGTCTTCTGTCCAGTTTTTAGTTGGGTTGTTTGTTTTTTGGGTATTGAGTTGTATCAATTCTTTATGTATTTTGGATACTAACCCTTTATCAGATATGTTGTTGGCAAATATCTTCTCCCATTCAGTAGGTTGCCTTTTAGTTTTGTTGATTACATCCTTCACTGAGCAGAAACTTTTTATTTTGATGTAGTCCCAATAGTTTCTTTTTTTGCCTTTATTTCCCTTGCCTCAGGAGACATATCTAGAAAAATATCGCTATGGCCAAAGTCAGAGAGATTACTGTCTATGCATTCTCCAAGGATTTTTATAGTTTCAGGTCTCACATTTAGGTCTTTAATCCATTGTGAGTTTATTTTTGTGTATAGTGAAAGAAAATGGTCCAGTTTCATTCTTTTGCATATGACTCTCCGGGTTTCCCAAAACCATTTGTTGAAGAGTTGAACAACTTTATTGGATCCAATTCACATACTATACAATGGATCCCTTTAATTTGTACAACTCACTGTTTTTTAAAAAGATTTTATTTATTTATTCATGAGAGAGAGAGAGAGAGAGGAACAGACACAGGCAGAGGGAGAAGCAGGCTCCATGCAGGGAGCCCGATGTGGGACTCGATCCCGGGTCTCCAGGATCAGGCCTTGGACTGACGGCAGTGCTCAACCGCTGAGCCACCCAGGCTGCCCAGGTGTCTGACTCTTGATTTCGGCTCAGATCATGATCTCAGGGTGGTGAGGTCAAGCCCCATTTTGAGCTCTGTTTTGGGCATGGAGCCTCCTTAAGATTCTCTCTCTCCTTCTTCATCTGCCTCTCCTCTTTGCCTCTCCCTCTCAAAAAAATAAAAAAAGAATATTATTTTCATAAATTTGTGCTAGGCCAACTAGATAGCCATGTGCAAAAGAAAGGTTTGGGGTGTCTGGGTGGTCCAGGTCAGCTAAGCGTCTGTTTTGGCTCAGGTCCTGATCTCAGGGTTCTGTGGTTGACCCCCACATAGTGTTGGGTTTCCTGCTTATTGGGGAGTCTTGTTCTCCCTCTACCTCTCTCCACCCCCACTTGTGTACTCTCTCTCTCTGTCTCAAATAAACAAATAAAATCTTGGGAAAAAAAGAGATTTTATCCTTATAGGACACCACATACAATAATTTAACAGGATGAAGGATAAAGACCTAAATGTAAGAGTAAATTATAACACTTACCTAAAACATAGGAAACAATTCTTGACTTGTATTTGGCAAGGAATTGATAGCTGACACCAAGAGCAAGAATGGGAAAGAATGGGCTCCATCAAATTTGGACTTCATCAAATTAATGACTTTTTTTCTTAAAGGACACTTATCAGGAAAATGAAAACACTCTTTGGAACCCTTGTTGCACTATTGCGGAGAATATAAAATCGTGTTGATGGTATGATAAAACAACATGACAATTCCTTTAAAAATTACAAACCAAGTTATTCTCTGAGCTAGCAATTCTACTTTTGGGAATTGAAATAGAATTGAAAGAAAGCAGTGACTCAAATAGCCTGACTCAGATCATTGACCACAGGGCTCTATGCCCCACTGGAATTGCTTGGGAGCACCATTATATTTTAAACAACACAAACCATGTGTTTGAACAAAATCACTCAAATTTAGTGTATGTGGAAAGGAGGAAAGAAACTAATGCGCATTTACTAGTTCAGCCAGAAAATCCCAAATATCTATTCCTCTGGGAGAAAGAAAGGTGTAAATTATTTTTCATGGCAAGACATTGACATTGTTTTGCAAATAAGTAGTCCTGCTTGAATATACTTCCACCCTGCAAATCTAAGCGGATTTGAAACCACCCAGAATTAAAGAATAGGCCTCAAAAATTTACAACACACTCTCTGGACAAGAAAAAGTGAAATTAAAATCCTTAACAAATGGAATGTAATACTGTAATATCTTTTTTCTGAAATTCACCACATTTTTACCTCTTTGGAAATATTTTATACTTTTCTTCAAGCTCTATTAATTAAATAAATTTTATCCCTATTGGAAAAAGAAATAAATTAGTACATCTTTTTAAAATGACAAACCCAGGGTGGTAACCAGACAAATCACCCAGAAAATTTTCAAAGTTGAAACTCTACCAAAAGACTTCCCATTGGATGCTTGTGCCCAGGAAATAAACTTAGGGGAGAGGCACATGGATGTCATATAAGATATTCCAGATTGTTGTTCTGTGCAATTGAAACATTGAGTCTGTTTGAAATACACCATGGAGGACAAATAGTTGATAATGTCAATCAGAAAGGAAAGTGACATTGGGAAACACAGGAGCCATCTCAAAATTTAGGCATTTATTCCAGTTCTGACATGATTTTCCAGTATCACTGTAATTGTCACTACAGAACTGCACACCTAAACTAGAAATGTCATAGTTTGTGTATATTAGCACAATTAAAAGTATAAATTTTAAAGCAAAAGATTCAAATACTTGGGAGGCTATGTAAATCTTTAGCTAAAGTACCACATGCATGCAGGTAGATAAGGGATGGGTAGAAGCCTCAACGCTGTCAACAGCAGGAACCAGTCTTTATTGCATAGGGTGAGATCATTTTTTTGTTCTATTTTTTAAGATTTTATTTACTTATTCATGAGAGACACACATACAGAGGCAGAGACATAAGCAGAGGGAGAAGCAGGTTCCCTGCAGGGAGCCCCATGGGGGACTCCATCCCTGGCCCCCGGGATCACGACCTTGAGCAGACACTCAGCCACTGAGCCACCCAGGCGTCCAGGTGAGATCATTTTTAAGTGTATTTGTAAACAAGGATCACAGGTCTATGAGTGATTTCTCAGCCTCATGCCAACCCCAGAGCACCCTCTGGTACCGGTCTGGCCTGGTCCGGTGCTCCTCTTGCTCTGAAGAAGGACGTCGCTCCATTGGGACTCTTTTTTTTTTAATTTTTTTAAAATTTTTATTTTATTTATGATAGGCACACAGTGAGAGAGAGAGGCAGAGACACAGGCAGAGGGAGAAGCAGGGTCCATGCATCGGGAGCCCGACGTGGGACTCGATCCCGGGTCTCCAGGATCGCGCCCTGGGCCAAAGGCAGGCGCCAAACCGCTGCGCCACCCAGGGATCCCTCCACTGGGACTCTTGAACTCCCT